TATGTACCATAGTTTGGTTATCCATTCCTCAGTTGATGGACACCTAGGTTGTTTCCATCTTTTGGCTATTGTAAATAGTGCTGCGATGAACATGGGTTTGCCTATGTCTGTTCTTGTCATGGCTCTCACTTCTTTAGGATATATACCTAGTAATGGAATGGCTGGGTCAAATGATATTTCTAATTGCAACTTTTTAAGAAATCACCATACTGCTTTCCACAGTGGTTGCACGATTTTACAATCCCCCCAGCAGTGTATGAGAATCCCAGTCTCTCCACATCCTTGTCAGCATTTGTTATTTTCTGTCTTGTTGAACTTTGCTACTGGTGCTGGAGCAAGATGGTATCTCATTGTTGTTTTGATTTGCAACTCTCTAATGGCTAATGAAGGAGCCCTGGTAGCTAAGGCACTTGACTGCTAACCAGAAGGCTGGTGGTTCAAACCTACCAGCCACTTCTCGGAAGGAAGGCTGGGCAATCCTACTTCCGTAGTGTTACTGCCTCGGAAACCCAAGGAGGGGTCGCTGTGAGTCGGGGCCGACTTGACGGCAAATAACAACATAACAACAATGGCTAATGATAATGAGCAATTCTTCATATGTTTGTCAGCTGCCTGAATATCCTCTTTGATGAAGTGTCTACTCATGTCTTCTGCCCGTTTTTTAATTGGATTATTTGTCTTTTTGTTACTGAGGTGTTGGAATTTTCTGTAAATTCTAGAGATAAGTCCCTTGTCAGATATGTCATACCAAACATTTTTTCCCAATCTATAGGTTCCCTTTTGACTCTTTTGGAGAAGTCTTTGGAAGCACATAAAAATTTAACTTTTAGAAGGTCCCATTCATTTAGTTTATCTTCTGCTGTTTGTGCATTTTGGGTCATGCTTGATAGTCCATTTATGCCATACATTAGGGCCCCAAATTTGCCCCTATTTTTTCCTTGAGGAACTTTATAGTTTTAAGTTTCATAGTTAAGTCTTTGATGCATCTGGAATTAGTTTTTGTGTATGGTGTGAGGTACAGATCTTGTTTCACTTTTCTGCAAATGCATATCCAGTTTTCCCAGCACCATTTATTAAACAAATATTCTCTTCCTCATTTAATGGATTTCAGCCCTTTGTCAAACATCAGCTGACCATAGGTCGATGGACCTATTTCTGGGTTCTCAATTCTATTCCATTGGTCTATGTGTCTAACATTATACCAGTACCAGGCAGTTTCCACTAATGTGGCTGTATAGTCGGTTTTGAGATCTGGGAGTGTGAGACCTCTTACTTTGTTCTTCTTTTTCAATACTGTTTTACTTATTCGAGGTCTCTTTCCTTTCCATATAAAGTTAGTGATTGGTTTTTCCATATCCTCAAAGAATGTTGATGGAATCTGGATTGGGATTGCATTGAATCTATAGATTGCTGTGGGTAGTACTGACATTTTCACAATGTTCAATCTTTCTACCCACGAGCATGGTATGTTCTTCTATTTATGTAGATCTCTTATAGTTTCTTGTAGTAGTTTTTTATAGTTGTCTTCGTACAGGTCTTTTGTGTCCCTGGTAAGATTTATTCCCAAGTATTTTTTTTTATTTTTTGGTACCTATTATAAATGGTATTAATTTATTTATTTCCTTTTCAGCAATCTCTTTGCTGGTGTAGAGGAATCCAACTGATTTTTGTATGTTGATCTTGTATCCCGCCATGATGCTAACTCTCTCAATTAGTTCCAGTAGTTTTGTTGCTGAGTCTCTTGGATTTTCCATGTATAGGATCATATCATCAGCAAATAGGGATTGTTTTACTTCTTTCTTACCAATTTGGATGCCTTTGATTTCCCTTTCTTGCCTTATTGGCTTGGCTAGGACTTCCAATACAGTGTTGAAATGAAGTGGTGATAGAGGGCATCCTTGTCTAGTTCCTATTCTCAAGGAGAATGGTTTCAGTCTCTCTCCATTTGAGAATAATGTTGGTTGTTGATTTTTCATATGTACATTTTATTATATTGAGGAATTTGCCTTCTATTCCTATTTTGCTGAGAGTTTTGATCAGAAATGGGTGTTGGATTTTATCAAATGCCTTTTCTTCATCGATTGATATGATCATATGGTTCTTTTCCTTTGTTTTATTTATTTGGTGGATGACATTGATTGTTTTTCTAATGTTGAACCATTCTTGCATACCTCATATGAACCCCACTTGGTCATAATGTATTATTTTTTGATATGATGTTGGAGTCTGTTGACTATGAGTTTGTTGAAGATTTTTGCATCTATATTCATGAGGGATTTTGGTCTGTAGTTTCCCTTTTGAGTGATGTCTTTGCCTGGTTTTGGTATCAGCTAGCCTTATACAATGAATTTGGGAAGATTCCATGCTTTTCTGTGTTCTAGAATAGTTTGAGTAGGATTGGTGTCAGTTTTTCGCTGAATATTAGGTAGAATTCTCCGTGAAATGGTGGGTTTTTTTTGGTAATTTTTTTATGACCTGCTCATTTTTTCCTTTTGTTATGAGTCTGTTCAAATTTTCTATCTCAGTCTGTGTTAGTTCAGGTAAGTAATACATTTCTAGAAATCTGTCCATTTCTTCTAGATTTTTGAATTTATTGGAGTACAGTTCTTCACACTATCCTGATATTATCCTTTTAATTTCTGTTGGTTCTGTTGTGATGATGCCCACTTTGTTACTTATTTGTGTTATTTACATTCTCTCCCTCTTTTCCTTTGTTAAATTTGCCAGTGGTTTGTCAATTTTATTAATCTTTTCAAAAAAGCAACTTCTGCTCTTGTTGAATTTTTCTATTGTCTATCTATTTTCTGTTTCATTGATTTCTGCTCAAATATTTATTATTTCTTTTCTTCTGGTGACTGTAGGCTTTTTTTTTTTTTTTTGCTGTTCTTTTTCTAATTTGTGGAGATTCTGGTTTGAGGTATTGATTTTGGCTCTTTCTTATTTTTTTGATGTGCACATTTATTACTATAAATTGACCTTTGGTCACTGCTTTTGCTGTGTCCCAAAGATTTTGGTATGTTGTGTTTTCATTCTCATTTGATTAATTTCATTTTTTATTTCTTCTATTACCCAGTCATTTCCAAGGAGGGTGTTACTCAGTTTCCATGTGTTTGCTCTTTTTCCATTCATCTTCCTAAAATTGTAATTTTATGGCATTGTGATTTGAGAAGATGGTTTGCAGTATTTCAGTGTTTTTAAATTTATTAAGGCTTGCTTTGTGGCCTAACATATGATCTATCCTGGAGAATGTTCCATGTGCACTAGAAAAGAATGTATATTGTGCTGTTGTTGGGTGAAGTGCTCTGTAGATGTCTATAAGGTCAAGTTGGTGGGTTGTATTGTTTAGTTCTTCTGCATCTTTGTTGAGTTTCTTTCCAGTTGTTCTGTCTGTGATTGAAAGTGGCACATTAAAATCTTCTACCATTACTGTGGAGTCATCTATTTGTCTTTTCAATTTTGTGTTTGAGTTATCTTCAGCAGATTTTACTTGTGTGTGATATTAATGATATTGTTCAATAATTTCCACATTCTGTTGCATCACCTTTCTTTGGAATGAGCACAAATATGAATCTCTTCCAGTTGGTTGGCCAGGTAGCTCTCTTCCAAATTTCCTGGCATAGACAAGTATATGCCTCTAGTGCTGTATCCATTTGTTGAAATTTCTGTCAATCCAATAAACTGAAAAGTGAGTGGTGAAACCACCAGTATAGGAGTTAGGATTTACAACACATATTTTTTTGGGAATCAATTAAATCCATCAAATAGAGTGATTGTGTGATGGGAGATGCGAGTCTGCTTTTTTCCCCAATTCTCAGGTTCTTTTCAGAGTATGAGCATTATACATATTATGTTATAAAGTAGCCTGCTTGTACAGGGTTGTGTACACAAAACCATATCTAATATACTTTATAGAAGATTTACATGAGTTTTCAAGGGAAAATTTGACATACACAATTTTTAACCTATGTTTGATACATTGGCTTTAGAATCTAACCATTAGGTAAGAAGCACTTAGTATAGATTTGCCTATTGTAGGAATTGAGATGTTATATGAATAGATAAGACCATATAATATATGGCCTTTTATGTCTAGCTTCTTTTACTCGGCATAATATTTTCAAGGTTAATCCATGTTGTAGCATGTGTGAGCATTTCATTTGTTTTTATGGCCAAATAATATACCATTATATGGATATCCTACTTTTTATTTATCAATTCATTCATTGATCAATATTTGGCTTGTTTCCATTTTTTGGCTATAAAGAATAATGTTGCTGTGAATATTTATGTACAGGTTTTTGGGAGATTTTGTTTTTTTCATTTCTTTTGGTTATATAGGAATGGAATTGTTAGGTCACATGGTAATTTTATGTTTAATTTTTTGAGGACCTTCAGCTGTCTCTTGATTCTGACTACTTTTGTCTGTTTACAGGTGCATTACTTTGGTTCAGCCCACTGTCATCTTCTAGATTAAGTAAACTTTGAAACTTGTTTATCTTTTTCTTCTTGTCTTTCTCTGCTCTGCAGCCAAAGTAATTTTTATAAACTACAAATATGCTTGTTACTCCCCTTCATAAAACTCATCAGTCACTAGTCATTGCTCTTAGGATGAAGACTAAACTCCTTGTGAGATTATAAAACTCTTCATCTTGCCCTTTTGTAGTTCTTTTTTCACTCCCCTACTTGTACTTTTGGGAGCTCTGGTAGCATAGTGCCTAAGTCACTTGACTGCTAACCAGAAGGCTTGCGGTTCAAACCCACCAGCCACTCCTCGGAAGGAAGGTTGGGCAATCTATTTCCGTAGTGATACTGCCTTGGCAACCCAAGGAGGGGTCGCTATGAGTCAGGGATGACTCGATGGCACGTAACAACAACAACAACTTGTACTTTATGTTCCAGGTTTATTAAATTACTCTTGCTGTCTGAACATGTCAGGCTTTTCTCCAGTGCATTTGACGTGCTGATTCTTCTGGTTGGCATTCATTTTCTTCTTCCCTCCCTACTCAGTACTGAGTTGTGTCCCCTTTCTACAAGGTTCCTTACAGCTTCCTCATCTTCTATAGTAGCTGCTATCATAATATTTTATTGTTATTATAATAGCTTCTATCACTTTATTTTATTGTGCTTTGCAGATGCTTTTTTTTTTTAACAAATGGAAAATTTGTGGCAACCCCACGATAAGTAAGTCTATCAGCGCCATTTTTCCAACAGTGTGTGCTCACTTTGTGTCTCTGTGCCACAGTTCAGTAATTCTCACAATATGTCAAACTTTAAGTGTAACGTAAACTTTACATGCACTGGGAAACCAAAAAATTCGTGTGACTTTATTGTGATATTCACTTTATTGTGGTGGTTTGGAACCAAACCCACAATATTGCCAAGGTATGCCTGAATATTAAAATTTTTCATCTCCTTCCTCAGTAATCTGAAATCTCTGAAGGGCAGAAATTTTAAACATTTGGTACTTAAAGGAAATGATCTTTAGGCATAAACTAAGCACTCAACAATATTCAGTGTTCATGCTGATATAAAGATTAATTTAATAATTCTCTATTTTCAGTGTGAGACTATTCAGGAAGCTGGTGCAAATGTTTCAAATGGTAATTGGGGCATTAATGATAGGCTAGCATTAGGTTTTAGAGCTACTGAACACTGGCTTAAAACATTTATTAATATAGAATGCCAAATATTACTTCTTTTGTGATAACCTTTCAAAACAATAATATTTTAGCTCCTACAAGTGCTGGGAAGACTCTTGTTGCGGAATTACTTATTTTGAAACGGGTTTTGGAAATGAGGAAGAAAGCTTTGTTTATCCTGCCCTTTGTCTCTGTGGCTAAGGAGAAGAAATACTATCTTCAGGTAAAGTTTTTCTACTAAGTTTGAAATAATAAAAGGCCTGTTATTGAAACTTAGCATTCTTCATTTGAATAGAATTGTAAAAGCAAGTAAAAAAAATAAAAATTTCTTTTATTGTATCCCAATATAGCTTTAAAAGTTGACCATTTATGGAGGGAAACTCTTTTTTTTATTATTGTATGTAGAAGAAAAGGCTATAAAATTAAAAGAGTCATTAATAAACTTTTCCTTAGGAAGTAAACAGAACTTCAATTAGTATCTAAGTGTGAAAATTAAGAATCAATGTTTTAGCTGAATAGTAGCACTAGACAGAAGCATGGAAAAGAAAGAGTACTTAAGGAAGCACATCACATCTCAGTTGAGGGCCATTTAGGAACATTTAGGAGATGAATAACAGGACCTATTGGTACTTAGATAAAGCTTTATGCCTATGATCTGTTCCTATGATCTGCAGAAATGAATAATAACACTTTACATTTAAATTGTATTTATTGATTTCTAAGGCATTTTCACAATGTTTCATTGAATAGAATAAGTTGACTACTGTAATTTCTGTAGTGGAAAAATGGAAAAATTGGAATAGAAAAGTCATTGTACTGGGAATTCAGGAAAACTGGTTTTTCAGACAGTTTTGCCATTGTCTTCAGGCTGGGCATATAACTTTCTGGGCCTATTTTTTTATTTGTGAAATGAGGATGTTAACCCTAGCACTGTGGAATAACTCAATAAGCACTCAGAAAAATTTTATTGAATGAACAACTCTAAAATTCTGTGAGTTTTTTTTTTTTAATTGTGATTTGAGGGAAAGTTTACAGGGCAAATTTATTTTCCATTCAACAGTTCATACACATTTATCAATTTTATAAAATTGATTTCAATCTCTATAGTATAACAGCTCTCTTCCTATTTCTTCCCTGTGGTTACTCTTTCCTTATGTCCTTTCCTATGTATTCCTGCCCTCTGAGCTGTATCCCTGATGAATGAGTCTTTTTAACAGTTATTTCAGAGGCCAAATAGCCAACAAATCTAGACCTATATTGTAACATCCTCTCAACTTAGATCCAAAGTAACAAAATGTGAAAGAATCCATTTTATTGAGAAGGTCTCAAACCAATGAGAAGGTATGTTAGTTAAAAGTTTAACTAAAAAAGTTAACATCACAGTCCCACTGCATTTGATTTTTTAAAGGTTTTCCATTACATAGATAACTGGTCTTTAGTGGGATCACGAGAATATTTTCCTCATGAAGTATAAATTTGTTTCATAAAGTGTGTTGCAATGGTTTAGAAATAGCTAGTTTCTTGTTTATTAGATCAAAAATATTGGTGCCTAGTTTTTACCTATTTTCTATAAATAACTCTTAGAACTATCTTAATTATTAAGTAAAGTTATTTAAATGATATACTTAATTGTTTTTGACTCTGTTAATGGAAAATATCTACTGAGCTTTGTTAATTCAAACTTCATATCTTCAGTATAAAAATATGTGAAAAGAACCAATAGGTCCTGGCCAGGAATAACTGACAGTAAACTGATAGATGCCCTTAGATACTTATGTCTATGTTCTGGGATAGAACCAATTTGTGGTCTGACTTACAATTCATACATTTGAAATTATTCTTACATGTATTGTTCTTTTCTACTCAATTCAGAGCCTGTTTCAGGAAGTAGGAATAAAAGTAGATGGTTATATGGGCAGTACCTCTCCGACAGGGCATTTCTCTTCCTTGGATATTGCTGTCTGCACAATTGAGAGAGCCAATGGTCTGGTCAATCGCCTCATAGGGGAAAATAAGATGGATCTCCTAGGTAAGACAAACAAGAAAATAAGCAAGTACTTTCTATTACTATTTTTGATGGAATGGAATGCTGTTGGGATTTCTACACATACATGTTGTTTTTCTATTGTTTGTCATTTACTTGTAGAAACAAGAATTGGTATCTGTACTGTTAGGATTCTGTAAAAAAAAAAAAAAGTACAAGTTTTACATCCTACTGTTGTTACTGCCTACACTGCCTTACTTTTTTTGTACTTTATAAAACATAGAGGATACTTTTGAGACCTTGAATAATTTATTGCTTCTTTCCTGGCTAAACTTTATCAGGAATAAAAGGAAGCATGCAGGGGCTGGGTTTACTAACTTCATAATCAGTGTATATGTGTACGTATTCATTATTGTACTCTGATGCTGTAATGTCCGGATTAGGCCTGAACCCAGAGGCTACCCATTTAGCAGGCAAATGATGGAGAGCTACAGAAAGTGATAGTGTATTTCAGCTTGGGACTCCAGGAAGGTTTTCCATCTTATTTATTTATTTATTTTAACCACTATGGAAGGCCTACTATATAGAGGTAGCAACAGGAATAGAGTGTGGCAATAGCAGCACGGTTATCAGTTAGCTGCAGAACTTAAAATGCCATGGTGAACTTGGATTTGGCAGTTGAGAATCAAATTAATAATACATGGAGTCTTATGATTAAAAGCTCTAGAAGCTTATAGAGAGAAATTATGCACATCAATTTATACCAGAATTCTCTTGTTACTTGTTTCTCCATTGGTCTTTAAATATATTGAGGATTGAGACTGGATCTTCAGTGTTATGTCCAATGCACCTAACATAGTGTCTAGCACACTAGGTAGAGCAAATATTTTTCTAATGAATGAATAAATATTGAAATAACTCATTATGATTTGGAGATAGCTTATTGATGACGAAAAGGAGTACCATGTCAAAAGGAAATAGTCTGAAAAGTCTTGATTTTGCTGGTGGGGATTTGTGGGGGAGACACCAGTATACTTGGCAATGATAATATTATGAAACATTTAACTGAAGAAAGTTGATACTAAATTTTCAGTAATTATTGAGCATTGTTCCAACTGTATAGACTGGGTCAATTCTCTAAGTAGTGGAGAAGGGAATTATGATCATATTTATGCTTTGAAGGAGGGTAACACACCCTACTATAATCAACAACAACAAAAAACCCTTAAATCATTTCTTTCTTCTTGATCTTATTCTGCATTTCCAAGCAACTTGCTAAACAGAGAATGGTTGCCTTAGTTGTTTTCCCACAGAAAAGTCAATACACGGAATGACTGACATAGATGTCTTTTATTTCTATAAGATTGCCAATTTAGAAGTGGTTGAATAACAAGAGGCAGTTTTCTCTGGATTTAGTTAGCTTTGAATAAGCAAATAATAGATTTTTAGATCCAGAATATTTTGTTGTAGTACCACCTATGACAGCAAAACATCTTGGAAAAGAATTGTCCATTATGTGGAATCTGATTTTTGCTTTATAGTTAGAAATTTGCATCATGTGCAATATATTGTAATGGCAGCTACTTAGTGTAAGAAAATATATTGAGTTTTTTGAAACTCTTCTTGGAACTGTCAAATTCTATAAAGCCTAGTTTCTGGAAAATCTTTTTAGGAATGGTGGTTGTGGATGAATTGCATATGCTGGGAGACTCTCACCGAGGCTATCTGTTGGAGCTTTTGCTGACCAAGATTTGCTATATTGCTCAGAAATCAGCATCTTGGTGAGTACTTGACTTAACTGAGTTTTTGAGATTCCAAACAATACTGAGAAAGTGTCACATAAGTGCATAATAAGTAATTAAGTAAATTAAAGCTGACCTTTAAATTAATTAGTGCTTTTCTTATATGTTTGAAAAGAAGTACTTTAGACTGAGATTGATTATAGATTACTTTGTAAACATTCGTAAATTTCTGACTGCTCACTCTGCTTGGTCTTGGTGTACAGACTTTTATGATAGATTTTTTAAAATCTAGTTTTTGTGTTTGTCATGTAATTAGTATACATTAATTATACATGTGTATAATTTAAATAGGCTAATGTTGAAAAAACAGCATTTCTTTGGCCTCACTTCCCAGGGGTGACTAGTTTTAACTCTAAGTTTCTTTATGTCTTTTTAAGATTTTTATTTACAGCTTTATCTCTAAATGCAGCTACTTGAGTTTTTAGCTGGTCTCAGTTGACTACTTACTATGGAATATGAAGATCTAAGCACATATTTGTATTCTTTATGTACCTCTATGCACACTCCTCCCACAAAGCAGACCCTACAGCCCCTCCCTTATCCTCTAGTCATATTTGTATTATACAAACATAATGATGTCATAATTTTGCTTAGCTTAATATTGATTGTTACACTATCAAAAGCCTAGTTGCCATAGATTCCAATTCTCGATGACCCCATGTGTATCAGTGTAGAACTGTGCTCCGTAGGGTTTTCAATGGCTGATTTTTCAGAAGTAGATCACCAGACTTTTCTACTAAAGCATCTCTGGGTGTACTTGTACCACCAACCTTTTAGTTAGGAGCTGAGAATGTTAACTGTGTGTACCACCCATATATTTCTTTTACACTATTATGACTATATAAATGCCATTGTTAACTGAGCCATGTAGTATGCTATGAATGCTTTTACATTTCTAAGTAACGTTTTGTTTTCTCTGAAGTTAATAAATGTCTTTTTTTGTTTGATGTCTTGTATTTCTACGGACTTCTCACTAATTTTTCCCCAGACTCTTTCCTCGTTATGTAAATCTCCACCCCATATATTTCAACATATTTGCAATTCTACCAATTTCATTTGTTAAAGAAATTTCTCCTATTGCTTTCTGAATTGCTCCTATCTGGACAGGTTAATGTATATATATGCTGGACAGCAGTCATTTAGAATCTCTCTTTATCATCATCATTCATTCACATTATGTTTTGCTTGAGTCACAGCCCCCTTTTTTTTTGAATCATAAATCTTTTTCTTGATTTACTTCCTCATTTTTGTATAGATGTCCTCCAGGAATTTCTGGAGAAAAGGTATATGGGTATAAATTCTTTGAGGCCTTATATGTCTGAAAATGTCTTTCATTTAATTCACATATTGTCTGTGGATAGAAGTCAAGATTGGAAATACTTTTCTGTCAGAATGGTCAAGGCATTATTACTTCATGGTCTTTTAGTTTCCATTATTACTCTTGAGAAATACAATGTTATGCTGATCTTTCATTCTTTTAAAATCTTTTAATTCTTTGTTGAAGTTTTTAGGATCTCCTCTTTGTCCTTGGTGTTATAAGATTTACTACTGATCTGTTAAGGTGTTATTCTATTTCCATTCATTATGCTGAGTAGTCATTAGGTTCGTTTAATGTGGAAGCTCTTGTCGTTCAGTTTTGGGAATTTTTAATACTCTTGTATTGACAGAACAAGCAGTTAACCATTTATATCCCATATCAGTAGGGATACAGGAGATGTGACTAATACAATCAACAAATTTCACCTAATGGCTGTATGTAGAACAATGTATCAAACAACAGCAGAGTGCATGTTCTTTTCAGGAATGATTATTAACAAAACAAAACAAAACAAAACAAAACAAAAAACCTACCATATACTGGGCCAGGAAGGAAGTCTTAACATATTTCAAAGGATTGAAATGGTTTAAACTATATATCTGTGAAAATAAACTAGAAAAAAAAAAAAAAAAGACAAGCATGACTAGAAGGAATTAAGAAATACATTTTTGACCAAAAAAATAAATCAAAATAGAAATTAGAAAATAGTTCTAACTGAAATTGTAATAACAATTTCTCCTAATAAAACTTGTAAAATGAAGCTAAAGTTGTTTTTAAAGAGAACTTGACAGTATAAAATGTATATACTGCTAAAGAAGACAAGCTGAAAAGTCGGTGACTTAAGTGTTCATATTTCAAGAACTTAGAAGAATAACAATGCCACAGAATGTAGAAGTAAAGAAATAATAAAGACAAAAGCAAAAATTAATGAAAGAGGAAAGTCATTATCCAGTACATTAAAACCAATAAGAAAATAAAAGCCATAAGAAAAAACACAAATAACCCAATGTATCAGTGGGCAGGGGAACAAGCATTTATAAGAGGGTATCCAAATGGTCCGTAAATATGAAGTGATGCTCAGTCTCATTAGTAATCAGGGAAATGTAAGTTACCTCTTCAAAGAAATATTACCGCATACCTTCTATAAGGGGACTCTGGCGGTGTAGTGCCTAAGGCATTTGACTGCCAACCAGAAGGGTGGCGGTTCAAACCCACCAGCCACTCCTCAGAAGGAAGGTTGGACAATCTATTTCCATAGTGGTACTGTCTTGGAAACCCAAGGAGGGTTTGCTGTGAGTTGGATCCAACTTGACAGCAGTGAATTTAGTTTTTTGGTTTACCTTCTATAATGTCTAACATTAAAAAGATTGGCAATACCAAGAGTTGACAAGGATGTGGAGCAATGGAACACACAGACTGTAAGGTGTTACTTTGGTACAGATTCTTTGGGAAATAATTTGGTATTATCTACTAAAATTGAAGGCAATTATAATCTATAATAATTTTATTCCTTGGTATATACCCAAAAAGAAAAGCTTGTGTGCATGTGTACCAAAGGATATGACAAATAAAATTTTTAGCAGTGCTATTTGTAATTAATACTTAACTTTTTAATGTTATTTTCATTTGCTTTTCATAGCCAGGCAGATTTAGCCAGTCCTCAGTCTAATGCTGTGCAGATTGTTGGCATGAGTGCTACTCTTCCTAATTTGGAGCTTGTGGCTTCCTGGCTGAATGCTGAGCTCTATCACACCGACTTTCGCCCTGTACCACTTTTGGAATCAGTAAAAATTGGAAATTCCATATACGACTCTTCAATGAAGCTTGTGAGAGAATTTCAACCCATGCTACGGGTGAAGGTAAATCAATATTTTTATATCATACTACCAGTATACCCACCAGCCACTCCTCGGAAGGAAGGTTGGGCAATCCTACTTCCATAGTGATACTGCCTTGAAAACCCAAGGAGGAGTCGCTATGAGTCGGGGCCGACTCGACGGCAAATAACAACAACAACAAAAACAACAACAACCAGTACATTTTATTTGATTAGATTTACTAATAAGTTGCTAATTTTTGAATTATGTAAATTAGGAACTAAAAAATAATTATGTGCATTAGATATCCATTAGAAGGAATTTTAATATTAACCTAATAGTTTTCATCTTGCAAACTTGGTGGTGTTGGTGAGAGAGGAATGTAGTCGTGCCTACAATTTAGATATAGTTTCCTTGATTAATTTTGTAAAATAAAATAATGAAAATTTTATAGACCTTTTATTTAACTGGGAAAAGATTTTCTTGTTGTTGTTGTTATGTTGTTGTTAAGTGCCATCGAGTCATTTCC